ACCTTCGCACACCACCGCGGACCCTCTCCCCCGCCGACCAGGGGCCTGTGCATGTCACCCGGCGGCACCCAGCACAACCAGGGGCCCTCGCTGGCCTCTTTCAGCGCAACCAGCGGCGCCCAGCCTGACCAGTGGCCTAGAACTGCTTCTCCCAGTTTGCCCTGGGAGGCCCCTCCTGGGGCCGGTGCTCCGGGCTGCTTTCCTGTCTGCCCACTGGTCTGGAACCTTTCAGTTTAATCTCATACTAATGGTCTCCAAGCTCCAGGTCTGCCCAGGGTGTGTGTGTGAGGTGCTCTCTCTTAAGCTAACCCGGCAGGGCCGTCTCTCTCTTCCCCCATCCAGGGAATCCCAGGAATGCCACCCCCCTTCCTGCCTCCTGCTTCCCTTCACTCCCTACCTAGGGGGGAGGGGAGGGGAGGAGAAGGCGGCTGGCAGTAGCAGGTGAGTGGGAGAGGGGAGGAGGACAGGGCACCTGCAGGGTGGGGGAGGAGTGTGTCCCTGGGTCCAGGGAAGGGTCACGGGTCACACTGAGGATCACAGATCAGAGGGCCCAGGCTCCTCCCCAGCCCGGTCAGACTGCTGGCTGAGGGGTCAGGGGTCAGGAAAGGTCACTGGTTACCAGGGAGAAATGGAGCCCTGGATACTGGTCAGAATGGGGGGTCACTAGGAAGACTGGGCTTTGCCCATCTGGCACAGAGGGAAGGCTCAGGTTACAGGTCCACCTGGGAGTCAGACTGGGCAAAGCTGCTTTATCCATCCGCGGTACAGGAGAGCAATTGTTAAACCAGGAGAGGTGACCTTTTAGTATCAGCCGCACCGTTCCCTCCTCCAGGAGGCCCTCCCTGCCTCCTCCCCCCACCCCGCTGGGTCAGGTGCCCCCTCTGGGCTCCCTCACCGCCCCCCCCAAGGCCTCCCCAACTGCAGTCCTGCACACCCTGGGTCGCCCCTGTCTGGGGACAGGCCTGTCTCCTCCACTGGACTATGAGTCCATGAGAGTAAGGCCCGGAGCTGTCGTGGGCACTTTTGTGTCCCCAACACAAGGCCAGAAGCACAACAGACACTCAGGGAAGGTTTGCAAGGCTTACACTCTAGAGCACACAGGCTCAGGTGCAGACCCCACCCAGACTGGACGATACAAACGCACTCGAGGACAAACGCAGGCGCTCTCCCAGACAAGCTCACACGGTGTGACCCCAGGCACCCCCTCCCCGGCTCCTCCCCCCTGGCTCGGGCACCTGCTGCTTGGGCTGGGCCCTGGTAGGCACCTCTCATCAGCCACCCCCTTCCACTTTCCTCAAGAGCCCAGCCAGCTGAGTTCCTAGGTGAGGAAGGGCTCCTATGGATTGTGTTTGAAGGAGCAAAGTTACTTATGACACCAGCCACAGACTTGCAGAAACTAGTACTATCACCTCATCTGTCCTTGTCCCCTACAATTTATTCCCACAAAACAGCCATTAAAACGTGAGTCAACTTACATAAGTCGAGCTCAGAACCCTCCCCTGGCTCCTTTCACTGAGTAAAAGCAGAAGCTGACTCCCTGGCTTACAGGTCCTTGTTACCTCCCTGACTCACTCTTCCTCTCTCTTATCCATCGCTACTAGGAGCGCTGCTTTCGCCATAAAGTAGGTCCTCGGGTTACATTGGAAATCCGTTCCCACGGCGCTACATAACGCGATTTTCCCCGTAAGTCGGAACCCACCTACGTAAGCACCGACGTCACTCACATGGACCACATATACAGCAGTAATGAAGTGAAACAGTAAAAAAAAAATTTTTTTTAAATAACAATTCCTGACCTTTACTTATGGTAAATAAATAATAAAAAACATAAAGCACATATGTACGTACGTCGAAATGACGGACCTTTTTTTAAAAAATAAATAAATGGGAGATGGTGACGTAACCATGGAACGACATACATCGAGTCCGAGGTAACCCGAGGGCTGTCTGTATTGTTCTCTGGGCTTGTACGCAGGTCACACCGCCAGGAACGTTCCAGCCCCAGGGCCTTTGCACTTGCTTTTCTCTCCGCTGGGACATTCTTTCCCCACATACTTGCTTCAGATCTCTAGTCACAGAGCTTCCCTGACCCTCCTACCTAAAATAGCGATTCCTGCCTTCCCAGCCATGCCTCATTTCTCTTATCTCACTACCATTTTCTTCCACAGCACTTATCAATGACACATATCTATGTAAGTGGTTTTATTCAGTTTTTACAGCACGTAGGACGTGCTTGGCGTGAGAAGCTGAGTAAAAATTCAGTGAATTAATTTTCCATCCGTGCTTTCATGTGCACACACTTATATATTTTAATGAGCAAGCCTTATCTTTTCTCCACCTTTATCCATTATTTTACATGCAATGTGTGATGACGGTTAACTTTTTTTTAAAAATATATTTTTAAAATTGATTTTAGAGAAGAAAGTAGAGGCAGAGATTGAAACATCAATGATGAGAAACATTGATCAGCTGCCTGTGCACCCTGCAACCCAGGCATATGCCCTTGACCAGAATTGAACCTGGGACCCTTCAGTCCTCAGGCCAACGCTCTATCCACTCGGCCAAAGCAGCCAGGGCTTAACTTTCTTTTTTAAAAATATTTTTTAATTGATTTTAGAGAGGAAGGGAGAGGGAGAGATAGAAACATCAATGATGAGAGAGTCTCATTGATCGGCTGCCTCCTGCATGCCCCCCTACTGGGGATTGAGCCTGCAACACAGGCATGTGCCCTTGACAGGAATGGAACCTAGGACCCTTCAGTCTGCAGGCGGACGCTCTATCCACTGAGTCAAACCAGCTAGGGCGATGGTTAACTTTTTAAAAAATAAATATTTTTATTGATTTCCGAGAGGAAGGGAGAGGCAGAGATAGAAACATCAATGATGAGAATCATTGATCGGCTTCTCCTGCATGCCCCCCACTGGGGATCATGTGCCCTGACCGAGGATATTCAACCGTGACTTCCTGGTTCATAGGTTGACACTCAGCCACTGAGCCACGTCAGCTGGACATGACAGTTAACTTTAAAATGAGCTCACAGCTCGTGGAATACGGGGTCGTGACACATTTCAAGGACAAGCGCTGTTCCCCAGTGATCCCAGACTGGCACCTGGAAAAGGTAACTACTGAGAATGTGTGTTGTCTGGGGGGAGGCAGCGTGAATGCATTTTTGGTTGGACAAGAGTTAGCTGTGCGGGGAGTTTAGATAATAGAATGGAAGTACAGAACAAAGGGTACATATCGAGAGTGAGTGTTCCAAGGGGTGGACTGTGGAGGACTTGGGGCTACCCTCCGCTCCCTCTTTCCACAGTTAGAAAAAGTGTCTGCTGCCGGAGAGCCAGTTGCCCTCTGTTGAAGCCGACAAGGACACGTTTGCCTTTCTGTGTCTGTTGGCGCTCAGGTGACCTTGACAAATCCGACTCTACTTGGGAATCGGGAGCTAACCACATCAAAGAAGTAGGGACTGGGGAACTCTACTCTCACCAGGGGAGCTGGGACACATTCCATTTTCCAAAGATGGCTGCGACAACATCGCTCATCCTACCTGCTCTTCCAACATCTGACCTTGATGCTCTTCCCACCAAGAAGTGGGGTCTATGTCCCCTCCTCTTACATTTGTGCAGTTGTGTGACTCACATGTAATCAATAGGATATGGCAGAAACCACACTACAGGACTCCCAAGATTAGGTAGAAGAGCCATGTAGTCAACATCACTGAAATACTGTCCACGACGCCTTCAGCCACCGTATAAGCAGTCTGACTACCTGGAGGCAGCCATGTTGTGGGGAAGCCCAAGCTAGCAAGTGTGAGAGCACATGGAAAGGTCTGAGACCGCAGAGGGACGCCTGTGCAGCCCCCTGCTGCCCTGCCCCAAGCACCACTTGATTGCATCCTGAGCCAGAACCACTCAAACCCTGGCCCACAGCACCCATCTACACTAATAAAAGAGAAACATGGTAATTAGCGTACGACCGCTACCCTTTTCATTGGCTAATCAGTGAGTATATGCAAATTAACTGTCAGCCAAGATGGCGGCCAGCAGCCAGGCACTGAAGCGAGCA